TGTACAGAATCAGCATATTGCCCCCAACCATCTGGATCCTCATTTTACTGACTTTGGAAGGATGGAAGGCTGAGTCAACCTTCAGCAGGTCAGGATTGAAATCCTGGCAGTGGGCAGAGTTTGCCTGCAATACTGCCTTCTAACCACTGCACCACACCACGGCTCTCTCTTAACAATTGCATTTTAATCTGTATATCATGAGCTGTTTTCAAACATTGTGATACTGCAGCTGCTCACTGCAAGTGTGTGCAGGCAAAACAAGGAGAAATACTGAGAGTGAGTTTTGACAACACTCAACACTGGTGAACATGAGTCAAAACTCTGAATGAGAAAAGGGCGAGAACCTGGAAGAGCAAGGAACATGTCCAGTCTCCCATTCCCTGCACTGAATCAGGTTTCTCTCCAGTACTTAACACATATTCACAACCTGAATGGGAAAGGCTCCGCGTGGCACATATATGGAACACCTCACCAATGGTGCCAAAAAGTCAAAGGACCTCTTAACTTTACCTGGCCTGGCTGTATTTTGCATGCAGTTTTGGGAAACCATAGTCGGGTGGACCGATGTGGATGCTCTGTTGCTGAGGTCCATGACAGATGGTGAGGCTGAGGTAGGTTGCTGAAGAGCTGGTTGATGAGGGCTGTGGTTGTGCTGGGCTGGACTGGGAGGGATGCCATTCTCTGAGAGAAATTCTTCCAGGTCCATGTATTCCAACTGGAAAGTGTCACCATCATAGGGAAGTGTCTTGTCCCATAATGTAGGCCCCAGAAAAGCAGACTGTGGGACAGTGGCGCTGGTGCTGTCGTCATCCAGTTTTTTGTCTTTGTCTTTTTCTTTATAAAATGCTAGAAAGGGAAGGGGAAGGCAAGGAAACGTGAGGAATTTTCAGCTAGTTTCTTGCTAGGAAGAAAATAAAAGAGAATCCTTTCATAGTTATTCTCCGTTTGGGGTTCTATGTTTGGAACAGAGTTAAAGTCTCTCGATACATTTTTCGGCTCATTAAGCCCATGTATGCTTTCCACCTCTGCTTTTAACTTGCAATTCATCTGCATCTTGCCTTCAAGCAATTGCAAGCTTCAAACAACAACACTCTTGAGATTTCATCAGAGCATTTGAATCACCAGAATGGAGAACTGGAGAAATTGTTCCAATGGGTATAGTGGAATATGATATTTCCCCGATCAAATCCTACAGAACTGGAGCTATTCATAATGGTAGAGTTTACATATCTGTGCTTAAGCCATGGTTTATTAAAACATGGTTTCATTTAACTGGTATTGTATAGCCCAATCACCCATCAACCAGAGTTTACTAACCATGATGGCTGTGCTTGTATACATTACACAGAATCCAAATAGTAAAAATAAGATGATGGCTTCTGCAATGTATGTAATCAGTTACTATTTTGAATAGGTTAAAGAAGAACAGAATACACATTGTGTTTGTAACGCATTGCTAACTTGCTTCAAATCAATTTTGAAGGGCAACATACCATATTTTAAATAAAAATAAATAATCTGAAGAACACCACAGCTGATTTAGTTAAATGTTTTTTAAAAACCCAAATTACCTCCTAGGTGAACATTCATGTTAGTTAGGAATTCTGGAAATGCTATCTTAGTAAAATAGCCTAATTTAGTCCAATCTTCATCATTTGCTCCTTAGAAACTGAACCCAAATTCATAATGAGAAGCTATAAAACAAGCCAAACATTACCCAGGGGAGTCACAATTGCACTTCTCAAGATTGGTTAAAAATAAACTTGCAGCAGCAACAGAGAGGCTGGAAATATTAAGCCCCTTTTTAGCTCCTTCCTACATCCATTTCCAGATTCGTATCTCCCCTTTCTTCTACTCCTATGCCCAGGAATGTTTTGAAATGCACGCTTGTTTTGAAGCCAAGAACCAGAACTTTTTGTACACTGTGTAGGAAATTGCAAAATTAATTGTAATCCCCCCTCCCCCTTGTTTGATTTTTCTTACAGCAAAGTAGCAATAAAATAGTAATTTCAGATCTTTGTGCAACTTGTAGTTTGTTCCTTTGTATCCATTGGATTTAACTTATTATGCTGACAAATAACTATTGGCAGCCACTTCCTAAATTTGTAAGTAACCCTTAATGCATTTCTCAGCAATTGGTCATCCTCTTCAAATATATTTGAACATTTACCGTCCATAAATCCAATCTTTCAGCACTGGAAATATTTCAACTTGTTATCATGATCTAAAAGAACTACCTCAAAAACTTTTTCCAAAATGATACATTACATCAACATAATTAATCTTGATATCCTATTCTTGTGTTTGATTTTTTTTATAATGGAAAAATGTATATATTGGTTCATAGTAAACAGGAGTGAGATGAGTCTAAGCTACACTGCACAGGTATTAAAGTACAGGTGATAGAGAATATTATCTAGAAAATCATAGAGAATTGTTAAACGCTGTACAATGCTTAGCTATAATTGACTTTTAACTGCATTGGAGTTTCAACTTTATTAGAAATAATTCAAGGTTTATATTTTATTCTTCTGAAACTTTCAATCAGAGGTTGAATTAGGTTTTACTAGTACCTTTGGGGGGGGGAAACATGTTGCAAGAAATACGGTAAAATTTCAGATTCATAGTATAGTATAGGCTTTAAGTAGTCTGTGTGTATTGGGGGGGGGGAGCTGTGTGTACACATTTATGGATAAATCTATGCCCATGTAATGCAGAGAAAAGATGTATGGGGAGGGCCTCCAGTTCAAGGCACACATTTTCTTCAAAATCACCTCCACAGAAATAAAATGCTATGACTTTTAAATCAAACAAGGGCAAGAGTTGATAGATTATGTAAAACCACATTGCAATCCCAATTTACCTGAGAGAAATCCCACTAAAAAGGAGGATTCACTTCACAGAAGTGCACCATACAAACACTCTGACAAGAATTCTCTGTTTTATGACTTCTTGACAAATGGTATCAGAAAGCACCTGACCCAAAAGAGCAGATCCAATCTACCACCGACCCTGCCAACCAAAATAAACTATACAGTTAAAGTAGGGTCACTTTTAACATTACACTATAAACAAACTGCACACGCTAATTTTGGAATAAAGAGCAAGAAGCTATGCAGCCGTTTTTAGGCATACTTACTTGAGGGTAAGCCCAGCGTATTGAGTAGGACTTATCTCCGACTAACATACAGAGGCAAAAAAGGCAGGATTAGAAGGAATCGTTGCTACCTCTTGGGTAATCCTAGGCGTGTTTACATGGAAATCAATCCCACTTGATTCAGTAGAACCGATTCCCAAGCATCTTAAGACTGCACTGCAGCCTCCGCAAGCCGAAACAAAAAAATGCGCGCTTCAGATTGCGCGACTTCTCCGCGTCCCGTCTCGACGCGCAAAGCCCTATTCCCAAGCAACGCCAGGCTAGACACGCGCCTCTGTTCGCACGGCTCGATCGCCGCTTTCCGTGAAAGTTGCGCACGGCTACAACAACCCGCAGGACATAAAGCGGGGCGGAGGGGTGGGGGCAATAGGGAAACCCACTGCCACACTCCTCCTTCCCCTGATCCACTTCCCCCACCCCTCCCTCTCTCTCACCGTCTTCGTGATGCAGCGGCAGCTTGAGCGGGTTTTCCAGCAGGGATTTCAGCACCCCATAAGTTGGAGGTAGGAAAGCTGGGTTCAAAGGAACAGGTCGAGCCATACCTCTTTCGCCCCTTCACTCCGCCAATTTGGTTAAACTAGCAAAGAAGAAGAAGAAGAAACGGGGAGGATGGAAAGAAGAAAAAAAATTCCCAAATCGATCTTCTGTTTGGAAAAGAGCGCTCTCGTCCTGGGGCGAAGGGAGAGTTGGCTTCAGACGACCTCGCTCCAAGGGTCTCTTTTTGCATCAATAACCGCAAACTAAACGGAGAAATTTAAAAAGAGAGAGAGAGAGAGAGAGAGAGAGAGAGAGAGAGAGAGAGAGAGAGAGAGAGAGAGAGAGAGAGAGAGAAAAGAGGTAACCCTACCGGCCAGGCAGCCAAGCGGCGCTTTCTAGCTCGCTCGCTCGCTCCTCCCAGTCCTGAGAGCTGGCTGGGGCCACCTGCGCCGCTCTCAGAACATTTGCACACCCATGTGCGGACTCGGATCAAAATGACGTCAAAGTTAGCGCAGCTCCCCGGTAGGCGGGCCCGGGAGATGCTCGCGAGCTCTGGGCCCTCATAATTAAACTTTGGGTTTCTGCCGCCGCCTCGGCTGCTTTTCATTCCATTGCTTTTGCTCGCTCTCCCCGGCTCTGGAGAAAAATGTTGGGAGGCAAAGCTAAAGGCAGGTTTCTACTGAGGAGGAGGAGGAGGATCTGCGTTCAGGAAAGTCCTTCGTGTTTCGCTGTGTGGGAATTTTTTTTTTTATCTGTGAACAAAAAAAATGAAAATGAAGTCTGTGATAACTTTAAAACCAACGCTTTTAAAAAATAATAATTCAAAATGTTTTGCTACTACTCGGATTTTAGGGTGGAACCCATTTACGGAAATGCAACAAAACTGAAGGCTGCAGCCAAAACCTTAGAAAGCCAAATTTGATTCATTCACGTACTCCTTTTTATTTAAAAGCCAGGATAAATGTTTAAAAAATGAATTTGCTGAGCAGCCAAGGGATAGCAGAGCCCGCCAATTCTCTAGGGAGGACACTCTGTTCTGCTCCTAATACAGAAGCCACCATCACTGAAAATGTGTTTCATTTGCCTATTTCTCTAGGTTCATACAAGGTCACGCTAGGATGCAGGCTTCAGTTTTGATCTCTAAAGGTGCTGTGGAAAGCAGGAATTTGCATCCAAAGCACTTGCCTGCAACATTTACTTAGTGGATGGGAGACCACCAGGAGATTCCAAGACTTTGGGGTAGGTTGAGAGAAAAAAAGCATCCTGTAAGAAGGCAACTGCAAGCTACTTCCATATCCTGTCAAGGAAACTATATAGATCTATCCATGAGGTCACCAGGGATTGAGTTCAGCTCAGAGGCTTGATTTTATCTTGTACAAACCCAGCCATTGTGGTTAATTGCTGTTTCATGAGGAATGCAACTCCATAGTTAACTGAGTAAGCCATGGTTCTATTAACCATAGGTTAATGTCCTCAACCATCTCAGCCAGTGAAAACCCTTAGAGAGTGCCAGAAGACATTACTTTAGCTATTTCCTTCCTAAATATTTTGGACCTGAAAGGACAAAACCAGCCCTCTGAATTGGAGTTTAAGACTTTTCTAAATTGATGCCACACGAGTGAAGCAGCTAGTGACTAGCTTAGTTTCCATGCAAGAAGCAACAGCATGTTCTTCACTGTGGGAAACTGGGTTTTTGGTTTTTTTTACATAGGTGTTTTTATTGCAGCAAGCTAACCTGGGAATTTTAATGAGGTAATTTTAAAAAAGAAGAAGGTGGTACTTCCTTTCGGGCTGAATGTTTTTGGAGGCAGCACACAGTGCCTGGAACTCCCCCCCCACACACACACACTCTAAAGACAGACTTGTCAGCCATTAATCGTTATACCCGCTCACGTGGTATTTGTGCTTCAGGACTGGTATCAAATACTTGCTTAAATAAACTTCAGAGCAAGAGGAGGAATTGATATTTTCTTTTGCTGAGAGCAACTTGCTGAATCTCTCTCCTGCCTAATCTATCACAATCAGGTTCCACCAGACTTCCCTGCCAAAATTCTCACCTCTCCATTCTCTGGTCAGGTGTTTTCTTAACTTACAAAAAACTAAGTGGGGCAGAATTCAAGAAGCCAATGTATGGGTTGAACTATCCAGTGGCACTCTATCCAGTGAGAAAGTGCCTCCAAAAGCTAGTAAACACTCATCTTTTCCCACACTCCATTTACAATGTGGTAGGTTTTGTGAGGTCCTATTATCAGATTCACTTTGAGGCTTCCCAAAACCTCCTTCATTTTATTCAAATTCCATTGCAATCTGCAACATTCTGTCCTGGCTCCATCTCTAAAAAAAAAAAACTTCAAGTGTCCAATTGCCCAGTATGCTTACAGAATATTTTCTAACCCTCCAAATGGGCTGGGACTACATTCCCTCAAATCCATGGCCTTCACTCAAGCTTTTTAGCCTCAGGAAACAAAAAGTCCCTGTGTGGATGCTGAACATGGACTGGAACTCCAGTAAAAGTATTGTGGATTATGGGATATAGTTTTATTTTATGGTAGGGAGCCACTCTGGCTGGAATCAATAGTCCAACTGGTCCAACCGATCCTTTGAATTATACAGTGATCCACAATAACAACCTACCTTGCTCACATGGGCCAGATTTACACTTTATATATGCTTCGCGTTTACCATGGATTGTGGAATAAACCACAATAATGGTTCCCCGTCATTTCAGACCCAGCCTGAAACATAGGTCTGGGACATGTCAGGACATCACTTCCTAAATGACATTTACCGTATTATGCATTGTATGTAATTTGCATCATGATGTGACTAATGCCTATTACATAATTTGCATCACTCCTTGCAATGATGTTACAATGTTTCATGGTTTCAACCAGGAGTGGTCAATGAGAACAACCTGTTGCTGGGGACCCAAATTAAAATTCTTAACAAGTAGCTGTCTAGTCTTCGCTTTAGTACAGCGCATTTCAAAGTTGGCAACATTAAGATGTGTGGACCTCAGCTCCCAGAATTCCCCAGACAGCATCCAGAGGAGGGGGCAAAGGGAAGGAAATGGCAAGACATGCATTGTAAGGTGATGGTGCAAATATGGCTCCTACATTATTCGGATCTAAGTATGAACGATAGGTTTTTGTCTCATGACATCACAAAGCACATTTCGTCATGGGTTTACACTGGATATCTGTGATCAGTTCCATAATATACTAAATCACATTCAAACAGTCCTCATGATGGGTTACCATAGACAGCCCAAGAACTGAGATAAAGGGAGTATAACAAAATGACAGCTGATCCTAAGACAGTGCCAACACTACCTGAATACAGTAGACCATGTAGTACTCTCCAATTGGCTAGTATCACCCTCCTTCATTCTGAACATAGCTATGGAGCACTCTGACAGCCCCTTCTGTGCTCACTGAATGCTGTGGCCCTCACAGGGTTCCAGAGACACTGTACACACTTCTGGGTTCATACCTCCACAGCTTAGGGTTAACTATAGTGTGGTTTGTTTGCATTTGCTTTAAGGCACCCTTAGGTGTGCAAAGTCACATCCTCAGGCGTGAAGGGGACTCTAGATGTTACTAATGGTTGAAGCTCCCCCCTCCCCCAAGTTTAGTACAATATGCAATCCTAGCCCAGTGATGGCAAAACCTATCACATGTATGTCAGTGGTGACATGCCAGCGTTCACGATATCCGACAACAATTATTCACCATTCTTGCATGATTTTTGGGAGGCTGTGGAGGCCCCGTGAGAATGGGTGTGCTCTTGTGCAGCCTCCAGGCACTCCGAAAATTTGTTTTACCTTTTTATTTTGTGGTTTAATGATTTGATGCCTATTTATATAATACATATTATTAGGCTGTATTTTTTTTTAAAAAACAAATGAATATGTGAAGAATTGTTCGGGGGGGGGGAGGGAGCGACATGCCAGCAGAATCAAGTCAGGCATTTTCCAAATTTTTGATATGCTGAACCCAAAAGGTTTGCCATCGCCGTCCTAGCCAATGGCAGGAGTGGCAGAAATTGTTCTAGGACAGGCCGCCCGATGTCTCAGCCACTGCATCGTTTTTTCTTGGTGCCTCCATTTCATGGACAGTACAGGAAAAACGTGCGATACTGTCGCTGACAGATAGCGGGAGTTTTCAAGGGTGCTGGGGGAAGATTTGCACGGTTGCTACGTTAGCTCTGCAGCTACAACAGAGCTCTGTAGCAGCTTCTCCTGAGATACTAGGCGTGTAGAGTATAACATTTGCATTATCCTAATGTCAAATCTGGCTTATCTGCCTAGGCAGCGGGATCATAGGTTCAACTTGCTCATCTCTAAAGTGACTGACAGCTTTTATCCTTCCCCTTCTTCTATTGCAGCCTGACATAGCAGCTCATCTCTCTTTATTTGTGAGCTTCTAAGATTTTTTAAAAATCTTGGGTGAAACAGAACGTTACAGATTTTTTTTTTAAATGGATGAAACCATTAGCATTTGCTCTACTTTTTGTCATTTATGCATGAAATCAATAGCACTTTGTCTCTCTTTAAGAAAACAAGTAAGTCAGATTTTGCTGAATGTTTGAGTCCTTGGAAAACCACACATGAAGAGGTTTTTTTGTCCTCAAAAAGTAAACTATGAAGAGAGGAAAATAATCTGCCCCATAGAAAACTACTATCTTAATAGACTCTGTGCAAAATAATATCTCAGAAGCTATTGATGACCCTTGAGCAGAAGTACTTGATGGATTAATTGGAAAGGTTGGGCATAATAAGGGCACAGTTGGTTCCAAATTACCTGCCCAAGAAATAACCATGAGAATAAATATTTTTAAGTGGGGAGGAAGGAACAACTACTTGTACACAATCCATGGCATATGAAAAAAAAACAAACCAATCCAAATTGCTAGTTATTGGACACCGGGTTACATAAACCCAGGAGATCATTGACAGGAGTAAGGGCAATATCTGGCATGGGTAGACTGGGGATCAAGTGATGCATAATGCATTTCTGTTTGATATGCGCTTAAATAAATATGGGAAGAAATCTTAACGAGAATTAAGGCTAAGAGTGAAAGAAAATAAATAGAAACATAATCTCTGGGATG